TTGGGAGGGATTGGGATCTGTGGATGGAAGGCTAACTCTCCGTTGCTCGTGCAGTGAGTAGTTGAAACCACAGTAGGACCAAGTAGGAGCTGGTACAATATGCGAGAACCTTGGTGAGGGAACTTCGCACAAGCCAAGGCAGTGTTGGTCGGATAGACGAGATAAGCTGGCAAATTGGAAAGGAAAAATTTGTGGCTTATACACAAAAGTTATGATAACGAAGGTGTTTGGTAGACATGGTAAACTATCATTTAGTGAATATTGAGGGATCAAGCTTAATATTTCAGGAGTTCCCAATACTAGCAAGTGCAAGTTAACGAATGAGTTTCTTTAACCAGATCAAGTGCACATGTGAAGACCAATTTCTTAACTAGCTTAGGCAGAGACTAATAATGGGTGTAACAATACCCACCTCTTGCCGTTATGGCAGTAAAGAAAGAATATCTGAAAGTACTAACTAACAAGTAACTTTCAATACCCGAAGTCATATTTGTGATATTGAGGTTGAGTATATCATATTAACAATAGGATACAAGGAGGCAATTTAGCTCAAATACTTGCTAAAAGACTTTGGGCATCCACAATCATTGGACAATGTGACAACATAAACAACATAATGATAATGTAGAATTTAATTTTCCACAATCGCAACAAGCAATCATAATAAGCATATTCTTGTGCAATTCCATTATATGTGAGAATAGGTCAACACAGGAGTGATATTATCATCACCAAGCCCCTCAATGATCTTTATACATATGATCATATTTGAGGCTGAGTATATCACCTTAACAACAGGCTACAAAGAGGTAGTTTAGCTCAAATACTTGCTAAAAGACTTTGGGCATCCACAATCATTGGACAATGTGACAACATAAACAACATAATGATGATGTAGAATTTAGCTTTCCATAATTGCAACAAACAATCACAATAGCCCATGACAAGTTGCCTTTTGTCACTTGCCCAAACTCAACCCCTTATAACCCAACCCAACCCAAACTCAGGACCTTGGGTGTTGGAGCACTAGGTGCCCAAGGTCAGGTTTATGATCAATATAAGAAAAATTGTAAAATATTTCTAGCAAAATTTTGTGATAGAATTCTTAGTTGAATGTTTCTAATTTTAACTTCAATTTTAACAAACCTCACATTTTGATTGAATTTAAAACCCCTATATTCAACAGCAGCCTTGGGTTCTTTGTGATGTACCAACATCGAACACTTGACAAAGTGATAGAACTTCCATGGGGTGAGCCTGAGTGAAGAAAAGAACTAGCTTCTATGCCTCTAAGTAGGTATCCATCTAGCACTACCTGGTCAAAATCCCATTCTAGAACCTGTAATGCAGCAGTGTCTCCAAAAATTTATTCAAGAGCCCAAACTATTTACAGTTGCACCTCCAGAAGTTTCCTGCCTGGTCCCTTGTCCTTTAATGTTTGGCATGGCAAAGTTTCAAAGCACTTGAGTAGTGTTTGTAATAAATGAACAAAACAACAAGAAAATCCACCGTACCTTGATACTTTTTGTCCCCATGAAAGAAGAAACGAAATCGGAACTCCTGTTACTCTTGCCATTTAATTATAATTGTATATAAACATCAACTTTTCAAGCAATCGTTGAGGTCCTGACAGAATAAAATGGAAAATATAACATAAAACCAAAGTGCAAAGCACATGTAAGCTTTATCTTTTTGATCCAGGGATTCATGCCTCTGAAGATAAAGCACTTGAGGAACAACATTTTTTTCAGTCTTTATTTCTATTATGTTGAATCCAGGGACAACATGAAGCTTTCTACTTCTTGTAATAAGCTGGTGGAGGTGGCTACGTACTTGCAGGTGGTGGAGCCTTGTACTTGTAATATGGTGGTGGTGGAGACTCGTACTTGTAATAAGGAGGAGGTGGCAGGACTTGTACTTCTAGTAAGGAGGTGGTGGAGACTCGTATGTGGTGGCAGAGACTCATACTTAGGCAGTGGATACTTACATGGGAGACTCATACTTGAAATAAGGAGGCAGTGGAGATTTAGTAATATGGAGGAGGTGGTGGCGATTCAACTTGTATGGTGGTGGAGGCAGCGACTAATACTTGGATGGAGGGGGTGGTGGCGATTCATACTTGTATGGTGGTGGTGGTGGTGACTCATACTTGTATGGCGGTGGTGGTGGACTCTCATACTTGTATGGTGGCGGTGGTGGTGACTCATACTTGTATGGAGGGGGTGGCGGCGACTCATACTTGTATGGTGGCGGCGGTGGCGACTCATACTTGTATGGCGGCGGCGGCGGACTCTCATACTTGTATGGAGGGGGTGGTGGCGATTCATACTTGTATGGTGGCGGCGGTGGCGACTCATACTTGTATGGCGGCGGCGGTGGACTCTCATACTTGTATGGTGGCGGTGGTGGCGACTCATACTTGTATGGAGGCGATTCATACTTGTAGTATGGTGGTGGTGGGGATTTGTAGTAGTAGTGTGGCGGTGGCGGAGATTCATGCTTGTAAGGAGGTGATTCATACTTGTAGTATGGTGGTGGTGAGGATTTGTAGTAGTATGGTGGTGGAGGGGAAACATACTTGTAGTATGGGGGTGCAGGGGATTCATACTTGTAATAAGGGGGAGGTGGAGGTGACAAATATTTGTAGAAGTCTGGCATTGGAGGGAAGGAAAAATCAAATGCCTGAACCTGGCTGCTTCTCAACAGCACAAGAGCAGCAGCCAGCAGGGCCATTGCAAAATGGCAGCTGCCCATCCTCTACCTATCAAAATCCCTTGGATTTCCTTCTTTCCAATCTATTCAAGCCCAGCTCCAAAGCCCTCAAGTTGTCGTTCCCGTCTCTTCTTTCCTTTTTTCTGCCCTTTTGTGTGCTTGGAGCTCGAGCTTTTAAAGCATTCTTGAGAGAAAAAGAGGAGATCGGGTCAATTGCGAGAAAAGATCAACACGTCCTAAACCCATGGCCATTTCCTTAGAGATGATATAAGGCTGCACTAAGCACAGTTGAACAAGCGCTTCTCAACAAAAACACACAAAGAAGACTTCAGCGTTTGCCCGGAAATATTGTCAATTTGTCTTTGATTCTTAAAAAAAGGAAGGATTCCTTGCTACAGCTTTGGCTGAATTTTTCTCCAGATCTAAACTCGATATGGCATAGAACACCACAATAAAATCCCATTGACAAACACACCAACACGCAAACACTATTTCGTCACTGACGAAATTGATCGCCTTTGAATGGGCCTGACTCAAGCTTTGATCATCAGAAGGAACGTGTCTTCTAAAGTCACAGGAAAAAGAAAAAGATGAAAAAGAGATTAGCCACTGGTGAGAAAAACGTAAGAGCTCATCTTGATCCCTGTAGGTTTCCAGGAGTTAAAAGAAACCATGGGCTTTTGTCCTGCCCGCTTTGTTGTCGGGCTCCACAACTTTGTATACCTTATGTCGCAAAGGAAACATGAAAGCCTCGTAAGCTTTCCCGTTATCGTCCACCTTGACATCCACCATGAGAAGTCTTTCGATCGCCATGCCATTTTCTATCCCTGTCGAAGACACAGAAGAAGAGATCCAACCGGACCCCGATCCTGTGACAAATCCCGTTGTTGTCGCATCTAAACTTTAAATATTCCATCAGCATATTCTGTAAAAAGATGTCCAACGCTGACACGGACCTCTGGAACAGGATTTGCCATCACCTTCGGGCTTCTTCCGTGTCTTCGACAGCGACGGAAAGTGGCGTGACGATTAACGGAGCTGTGGATGTCGAGTATCCGCTCATTGACGACAGCCGCATTTCTCCCGGTGCCTCACGGTGGATGTCAAGGTGGACAAAAATGGGAAAACTTACGAGGCTTTCATGTTTGCGGGACACATGGGATAAGCCAGACGTGGATTCTTTTAGCTCCGTGAAAACCTGCAAGTTTTGGGGTGAGCTCTTACAATTTTTCTCATCAGTGACTGTGGCTAGTCTCTTTCTTTCTTTTCCTTTCCCCGGCTGCGACTTTGGCTTTTGGTGATCAAAGCTTGAGTCAGGCCCGACGATCATTGCGAGTATCAGGTGTTTGAAAAGTGGGATAGATGGAAAACTATTTGTGGAGGTGGATATGTGCCAATGTATTATTGAGGCTACGGAACTTTTCTTGGAATCGAGAGGCCTCTCCACGAACTGCGCAGATGAGCATGACGTTACAATTTTCAGCTCGTCCTCTCGGATCGATTTCCTCCCAGTAGAAGAAACCGAGTTCGTAGCTATAGTAATCACCACCATGGCCCGAGAAAGGAAAGTTTACAAAGAAAAAGAGACAAATCCATGTAGCTCTTGTACGTGGCCGTGAGAATACGCTCCCAACGATCATCGTTCGCATAATCGGTGCTGTGGAGCACCGTCACTGGGACAATGGAGAAAAACCAGCTCCTTCTTGCCCCGTGAACAAAATCGATTGCAGCTCCTCGGCGCCGTTGAAACAATCCAAGCTGGACAGATATGGATTTGTCTATGGCAGCCATTCGTGTGCGTCGATGCTGGTGCCCTGCACCTTCTCCTGGAAATTCTTTTAATTCTTCATACTTCCTCCTCTCCTTCAAATGAATCTGGGAGATTTCAAGAGCCTTGACCTCATAAATTTCATAATATCGAGTCGATTGATCACCTTTGCCCAATCCTTTTGACGTCCTTGTAAACTGTGAGTACTGCCGCTCCATCTTCGCAGTATCATGTCATCTCTTCTCAATCTTTTCAGCGGATGAAATCACCTATTATTGTCAAAGAGGTAAAACGAAGAGATCCAACCGAAAGTGTTCCTCCATAGCGATTAAAATCTTGATCCAAAACTCCGTGCCGCTTCTTTCATTTATTTTTGAAATTTAGTTCAGGGATGGAATAATCTCATATATTTGAGGCAAGCTAAAAGCAGGGCCTGTAATCACAAAATGACGAACGCCTCTAACTGGATGGGCATGTTTAAAGAACTTACCACAGCAAAGGAGTACAAGCAACTTAGAGATCAACCAGTCTGGAAAATAACTACATAAAACGTCTATATCCCAGACACTATTTGGAGCAATCCCTTTCTCGTCATCCTGGGCGATCACGTATCCCATATGTCCCGCAAACATGAAAGCCTCATAAGGTCTCCCATTGTATACTGCTGCTCAAAACACACGGATACTCTCCCAGCAGCTGCACCCCAGTGTCATCGCTTCTGTTCCTGTAATCGAAGTGGCCGGTCTCGCCTGTCGAAGACGCAAAAGACTGAGATCCAGCCAGTGGTGTAGCTCGGGGAGCCTGATCCCCTCCAATCCGGTGGCAAATCCTGTTCCAAAAGTCCCTGTCCACGTTGCCTTTGCTGCTCTCTACGAACTGGGCGGTGATCTTCTTGAGCATGACGCGCCACTTCTTGCAAATTTCGCCATACTTGTCCAGCTCGTCCACTCTCCGATCGATTTCCTCCCAGTCCTCGGTTGTTCCCAGAAGAGTCACGAAAGGGATCCCACACATTAGACGAAAGCTGGGAAAAAGATCACAAACAAGATCTTAGAACACAACGTTGAGCACTAAATCATGTAGAAACACAATTATCAAACACACTATGATGCAAAAGGAGCCACAAGCTTGAAAGCCAATCCACTTACGTGTATTCGAAGTAGCTCTTGAAGGTGGTCATGAGAACCACACTGCCCACCACCACAACATTCTTGGTCGTGGTCGAGATCCAGTCACAGACCTTCTCGTCCTTGACATTCTTCTTGAGCTCCCTCGCCAGGAGCCCATAGTCGGCGCTGTGGAGCGCGGCCGCCTGGGACACAACCAGCTCCTTCTTGCCCTTGTGATCAATGAAGATCGATTGCAGTGCCTCGGCGTTGCCATTGACAAAGGATCCAAACTGGACGGCGATGGCGAGCCACACATCCCCGGGCCGAATTACCAGATTATGGTGGGCGCTGTAAGCTCTGATGGCGCACGCCACAAAGCCATTCTTCGCTGGATGGAAGGCGCTCGCGTCGACGCTTAGTACCCTGCAACACTTTGTAGCAGCCCTCCTCCTGGTAATCCCTGAATTCCTCCAAGAAATGGCCGCTCTTGGGCTGGGATCTCGGCAGCTTGGCCGGCTCATTCTTAAACGGCACCATTCTCGAGTTCTAGGGTTTATATATTTTAGAAACTTTAAATTCTAAATCTAGAATTTCTTAAAATCCACACCATTACATCATACAAGCAACACGTTTTTTTATTGAAATCGAGTCGATTGATCAGCAGCTCGATCAACCAGAAGAACCAGCCTGCAAAGTCCCAGAAAGAAAAACCATGTAAAAGAAGCGCTAGAAATCGTTCATGGCTTACCTTGGCCTTCTTGAGCTTGTTCTTGAGAGTTATAGCCCAGACAACCTTGGGCGCAATCCCTTTGTCATCGTCCTGGACGATCTCGAATCCCATATGCCCCGCAAACATGAAAGTCTCGTAAGTTTTCCCGTTGTCGTCCACCTTGACATCCACCGTGAGGTAGCCGGAAGCAATGCTGCCGCTCAAGATACACGGATACTCCATCTTCGCAGTGTTATCTCGTCCCAATCTTCTGACCGGATGAACTTCAGGAACATCACCCTGCCATTCGCCCTTCTTGTCGAAGACGCAAAACGCAGAGATCCAACCGGAAGTGTAACTCGGGCCTGATCCTCCTCCATAGTGGTGGCAAATCTTGTTCCAAAACTCCGTGTCAACGTTGCCTTTGCTGCTCTCTACGAACTGAGCAGTGATTTTCTTGAGCATGACGCGCCACTTCTTGCAATTCTCACCATACTTGTCCAGCTCGTCCACTCTCCGATCAATTTCCTCCCAGTCCTCGGTTGTTCCCAGAAGAGTCACGAAAGGGATCCCGCAGGCTAGACGAAACCTGGAACAATACAAGTTGTTAGCTTTAAAGACAAGTGCTAAATCACGTAGAATCAAACATGGCCAACATGAAACCATGCGAACGCCAAAGCAAGGAAGGAAAGAATACAAAGAGCAAAAGAGGAAAAATTCATGAAGAACACTTGCCTGTATTCGAAGTAGCTCTTGAAGGTGGCCATGAGAACTACACTCCCGGCGATCACATCGTTCTTGGTCGTAGTCGAGAAGCTCGGCAAGATCCAGTCACAGACCTTCTCGTCCTTGACATTCTTCTTGAGCTCCACGCTCATCTCCCTCGCCAGGAGCCCATAGTCGGCGCTGTGGAGCGCCGCCACCTGGGACACAACCAGCTCCTTCTTGCCCTCGTGATCCACAAAGATGGATCGCAGAGCCTCGGCATTGCCGTCGACGAAGAATCCAAACTGTACAGCGATGGCGAGCCACACATCGTCTGGCCGGATCACCAGATTGTGGTGGCAGCTGTAAGCTCTGATCACGCTCGTGACGAAGCCATTCTTCACCGGATGGAAGGCGCTCGCGTCGACACTGGTGCCCTGCAACACCTGGTAGCAGCCCTCCTGCTGGAAATCCTTGAATCCCTCCAGGAAATGGCCGTGCTTGGGCGTGGATCTCGGCACCACGGCCGGCTCCTTCTCGGAAACCCTAAATGTCACCATTCCCTCCTCCGTCTCGAGGTTGCGTCTCGAGCTTGTATAAGGAAATTTTAAACTCTTAAAAGATTCCAAAAGATTCCAAGAGCGTTTAATTGGTTGTCTATTTACACTAGAACAAGTTCTTGAGGAAACTTTGAGAGATTTCTCTCTGGATATCTTCTTCGATCGTCCGCCGCCACGCGATCAGCACAAGAGTCTTCGCGCAGCCCTGTTATACCTGGAAACGTCCGACCTCATGCTCTTGCACGCCTTCTCCAGCTCTCCAACCTTAAAATGGATTTGATCCAGATCGGTGCGGAGGAGCTCGTGTGTTCCAGCGCTTTGATCCGGGATGTCCGACTGCGTTCTTCGGTGGCTTCCACCTCTCGAGCCCCTGTGGTCCGATCTGACGATGCATTCTCGAAGCCGGCCCTGCTGGAACGCGAGAACTTCCAGCACGAACTTTGACGGCAGCCTCGGGTTCTTTGCGATGTGCTTGCATGCATCGAGCGAGAGCTTTCCAACATCCAGCACCTGACAAAGGGATAGAACTTCCGCGCTCATCACGTCGGGATGTGCCTGAGTGAAGAAAGAACAGAGAAATGCTTATTAGCTGTCGAAAGAGAGAACTTAGAGACGTAGATACCTCTAAGTAGGAGTCCACCGCTCGGTAGAGGCCATCGTGAGTCCACCTCGCTGACGCTGGTAGCGCTTGCGCAAGCCTGCGAAACCTGTGTACTTTCAAGCTTGTGTCCGGGGCAATCTCCGCGAGGTAAGTGTCGATCAAGTCTCCGACTCTAGTCACTGGCGTCTCCATCACTGCTGCGTCGTCTCCCGGTGGATTTTGCTGCTTGAGACACAGAGCTCCCCTCGAGTCCTGCTCCCGGAAGAAGTACTCCACCAGGCGGATGACCAAGTCGACGTCGAAGAGCGAGCCGGAGCGGGGATACAAAGGCAGCAGGATGCTGTCTAGATTCACGTCGTGTAGCTGCGAGCCGATCATCTTCTCTAGTTGCCGTTTGCACGGTTTGCTGGCGTTGAGGACGGTCGCCACTCTGAGCATGATGAAGAGAGACCGACAGGATGTAGACCCCCGCTCCAAGTGGAAGAAGAGGTTGACAATGGCCTCGAGGACTGCTACGTGAACCTTCTTCGAGCGGTTGTGTAAAGTTTCTTCGCGAGCGGACCTCAGCTTTGCAGAGAAGCCGCTGTAGAGATGGAGAGGGACAGCAGTCTTCAAGTAGTGCATCAAAAACCTGGCCAGGAGCTTGTTGTCCAAGTCGTTGTAGATCAGTGACTTGAGCAGTCTCTCCATCAGGAAAACCGAGAGCGATGAGACATCACTAAACCACCACGTCCGGCTGGGCGAAATCTTCGTTGACAGGGAAGACCTTCGAGAAATGCTGCCGCTGTGAAGCCGGTAAGAGTCTGGAGAGGAGGAGAGCGGGCTCATATCTTCCAAGCTGCTACAAATCTTCCAGGCGATGGTGTCCGCACACCTCTGGACAATATGGGTCTTCTCCGCCAGCGGCAGCACCGCGTCGCAACCTTTGAGCACTGTAAGATTGCTATCCCAGTCGTTTCCCAGGTTTTGGAGATGCATCTCGGCCTGTTTAACCAAGTTTCCCCGAGCATAAGCTTCCGTCATTTCTAAAAACTCCCCAACACACCTGAGCACGGAGACGTTGGAGTTGGAGATGGCGATCCGTCCGCCATCGTAGCAGAATCTAGTGGCCAGTTCAAAGGCCTCACCCCCACCTGGAAAGTCGTGAAGAAGTATCCTAGGCAGACCACTACCATCGCTTCTTAGAGTTAAACGCCTAAATATCTTTGAGAGCCGACCAGAGTAAGCAGCGAGAGGTTTCTGTCAAACAAAGAAAAAGAGAAGAGATTCTCAGTAAAACTTCCAAAGAATCACAGAGAGGCCACAGGCTACCTGGCGTAGAAAGAATGCGTGTTCCTCGTTCACTTGGATTTCCAAGTCGCACGGAGTATAATCCATGACTCTTGGCTCTTTGCAGACGAGACGAAGATCACCGCTCTTCATAGCTAGGCTCTTCAAGTTGGATCATAGAAGACGGGTCCTGTCACCAGATGTTTGTACAAACACTTAGATAGATTAAGAGAAACTTCTTGCAATCCAGTGCGACAAGAAGACAAGAACACACCTCCAAGCACTAGTTCCATGCAATCCCATCGAAAATTCCCACGCCCCGTCGAAAGCAAGCAACAACAGCAAGCATCCAAACCCCTGGATTCACCGAAGACTCTTGATGATGGCTGGCCGCCGTCAGATCTCTGTCACCGAGAGGACGGAGGCGACAGGCACTGTAGCAACGAAATGGATGGAAAAACAAGCATGAAATTCCGAGCGAGGCTTTCCTTGATTCTTGACCCGCATTGGAGAGGGATCGGCCGCTTACCAGCAATCCGGGGCCAAAGTCCCAAGCTCGCGCTCCACCGAGCAAAATGCCATGCAAGAAACGCCGATTCCTCCCCGGCGCCTGACAATATCGAGCTTCGCGCGCGTGCGCTCTCGCGATCCTCTCGCGATCCCCTCGCCCTAACCCTACCGCTCGCCCGGAAGAACGAAATAACGCGGCCACTGCGCGCTCGAAGGAGACGAAGAAGAAGAACCAAACCAACAGTGCACGCGCGATCAAACGAAGAACCCATCACACACGTGGCAAGATTGAAATCGTCGGATTCAGCGCCGGGGAGAATCCAGGCCGCCAATCCTTAAATGGGCGCTAAAGTTTAACGAGGATCAGCGAGTTTTAATGGCGAAGATCTCTCCATAAGAAAAGGCTGGTAAAAAACTAAGGGCGTCGGCTAGCTTGGCAAACATGGTGGTGCATGTGAGGTAAACTTTGGCGTAAAAATCATCTAAACAATGCCATGGATCGCGGCCGTATGATCCATTCTCTGCCACAACGGCATGTGATCTTCTGTCCATAGCCAGATTATTCCTCGCTGTCCTCTGGAATATTTGTTGCGTCGTCACATCGATTACTCGCAAGAAACCGTAATTCCTCCTTTATAGGTGTGTGTGTGTGTGTGGCTGTGATCTCTGGAGGAACCCTAGAAACTTCCACCATTCCGAAGAAGAAGTTACTGTCAGTGTTAGTTGGGGTAACAGTGAGTCAAAGGTTTTTAGATTTTTTATCTTGCAAATCTTTGATCCCATTACTGCTGCTGCCACTTTGTGATGAATGGATTGATTGGAACTGGAAGTTTCATGGAGGAGAACTTAGAAGTTCACTGTTTGACCAGTGGAAGTTACTGTTAGTGGTCAGTTCTTCTTTTGGGGTTCTTGTTTTTAAATCTTCTTGTTGCCTTGATTGATCCAAATCCACAGCTCCACTAGTGACATTGATTGGAACCCTGCGACCCCCATCGCCATCTGAATCATATCACGGTGGGCAACGCCTGACTTGCCTTTGTACCAAACAATCTATAAAGTTTTGTAAAGAAAGTGAGAAAAAAGAGAAGACTAGGAGGGCGTGCGTGCCTGATGAAAGTGTCGCGGTACCACTCCATAAAGCATCATTGTGTGTGACAGGAATCGAACCTTACAAGCATCTCTAGGCATATTCACATAGCAAGAAACAAAATGAAGGAATCTTGAATGCAAAGGATCTTGTCACAAAACTTTGCTGCGGGCATACGAAGCTGTGGAGCTGCCAAGGATCTATCCCGTGGGATTTCACTCCACGAAAAAATCTTGGCCAGCAAGAGCTCTTGGTGTGATCGATACCTTGCGAATTTGTTGATCGACATGTATGGCAAGTGTGGGGATATACAGCGAGCGAGGGAGGTTTTCGATAAGATTCCAAATCCAAACCAGTTCTCGTGGACGGCGTTGCTGGGCGCATATTCCCAGAACGGGCATATCCAAGAAGCGAAAGATGCGTTTGATGCTTCGGTGTCGAGAGACAGGGTATCTTGGAACTGTATGCTTTCAGCATATGCCCAAATTGGGCATCATTCAGGAGCTAGAGAAGTCTTTGCGAGAATGTCTTCCCACGATGTAGTGACATGCAACGCAATGACCACGGCATATTCTCATCACGGTCATATTGACGAGGCGGTCCACGTGTTTACATCCATGCCGCAGAGAAATGTGGTGACGTGGACGGCTATGATCACCGCAAATGCCGAGGCGAGGGACTTTGCGAGTGCTAGGGCTTTCTTCGATCGAATGCCCCAGTGTGATGTCGCGAGCTGGAACGCGACGATCCAGTGCGCGCAAGAGATTGGCGCGGTGAAAGCGCTCTTCGATCGGTCGCCGGGGAAGAGCTGGATCACCTGGACAGCGCTGGCGCTGGCCCACGCGCAACAAGGTAACGATCTGCAGCAATGCCGGGAGGCCTTCTACCGGATGCCGCAGTGGACGCTAGGGTCGAGCAATGCGCTCGTTTCGGCGCTGGCCAGGAGCTCCAATCTGGAAGAATCGAGGCTCGTCTTCCACGCCATGCCCCATCGCGACCAAATCTCTTGGAATTCGCTGCTCCAGGGCTACATCGAGAATGGGCGCGCCCAGGAGGCCATGGCGGAGCTTCTCTCTGGAAGAATGCCTTGCTGGGATGTGGCTGCCTGGAACGCGATGCTCCAAGCATTTGTCCAGTCGGGGGATCTGGATTCTCTGGAGAAACTCTACAATCAAATGCCAGTGAAGGACGTGATCTCCTGGACGGCTATGGTGGTAGCATTCTCAGAAGGAGGAAACATCGATCAAGCCAAACATTTCTTCGATCAGATGATCACCCGGGATCTCGTCGCGTGGAACTCGATGATCAAAGCATTTGCCAACACTGGGCTCTTGTCCGACGCTCTTGGCTTCCTCTACGCGATGCTCCAGGAGGGGATCAAACCCAACGATCACACTTACAGGGGGATTCTCAGCGGCTGCAGCCATGCCGGGCTCCCGGAGGAATGTCGGATCCATTTCTTGAGCATGGTGGCGGATCACGCCATCGCTCCGGAGCTGGATCACTACTGCTGCGTGGTGGACAGCTTGGGGCGATCCAAGCGCCTCGACTGGGCGGAGGAGCTCGTCCAGAGCATGCCTTACGTTCCCAACGAGGTGGCATGGACGAGCCTCCTAGGTGCTTGTCGAGTGTATGGAGATGCCGAGCTCTTGGAGCGAGTGACCGGGCTCTCGCTGGAGGACGAGAGCGACACTGGGTCCTGGCCGGCTCCATACTTGCTCTTGTCCGATGGCTGGAAGAGTGTTCCAAAGTGATGAGGCGCTTTCTCCTTCCAAAGTGATGGGATCAGAGCTTTCTCTTTCCAAAGTGATAGAGTGATAGGATCCAAGCTTTCTCCTTCCAAAGTGATGGGATCAAAGCTTTCCATCATCTCGCGAAGTCCTCCACATTGGCCTCGGCAAACGCGTTGTGAAGAACGACGTAAGGCTGCGACTGTCCAGGATCCCACTCTATCGCCGCTCTTGCAAGCCGGATAGCTCGCTCGATCTCCCCAAATGCCCGGCAAGCATCCAGCAAGCTCGTCCAAGCCACCATATCCGGCACAAACGGCATGGTGTAGAGCAGCTCTTCAGCCCTCTCAATCTGGCGGGCCTTGCCGAGGAGCTGGACGAGGCAAGCGTAGTGTTCCTCGTTGGGAGCCACGAAATAGTCCACGCCCATGGAGACGAAGTGGTCTCGGGCGACTTCTACGAGACCTGCGTCGCTCAAGCCCGCGAGAGTAGCAGTGAAGGTTACCTCATTAGGAGACAATCCCAAAAGCAGCATCGATCTGAGAGAAACCATCGCTAGACTAAAATGCCCGTTTCGGGCATAGGCTGAGACGATCGCAGTCGCGGAAACCACGTCGTGATGCTGCTCGATTTTCTGGATGGATGCTGGATCGTGAATGTCTCCCTGCCTTGCAATCACACCCAAAAGGAGCGTCCAGGAGTGAATCGCGAGCTGTGGCATCCGATCAAAGACAAGCTTCGTCTCGTGAAAATGCCCGTGCGCGGCAAATGCTGAGATGAGCGTTGTCCAAGACTGTAGCCCTCGTTCCGGCATCTGATCAAACACAAACTTTGATTTTCTTGCGCATCCAAGCTGGCCCAAATTTTGGATCATTGCGTTCCAAGCCGGAACATCTCGCGCGGGCATTCGATCAAAGCCCGAGAGAGAAACATCCAAATGCCCGCTTTGGGCAAGCGCTGTGATCATCGATGACCACGAGACAACATCCCTCTGGAGCATATAATCAAAAGCTCGTTTTGCGCGATCCAGTCGACCGGCCTCGCCATAAGTGAGGATCATTGTGTTGGATGCGAAGAGATCCAGTCGATCGATCGACTCTAGCAGGTCTACCGCTTCTTGGAGCTGCCCGTTCTCGGCCTTGGATCGAACGAGGCTGTTCCAGGCCTCGATGCTCTTCTCTGGCATCCTGTGGAAGAGATCACCGGCGCGATCGACGAGGCCGTGCCGGCAGTGCGCTGTAACGATAGAGTTCCAGGAGATCATGTCGTGATGAGGCATCCTCGCGAAAATCCTGTTGGATTCGTCGAGAGTGCCGGAGTTGACTGCTAGCATCGTGTTCCAAGTCACCAGATTTCTCTCCGCGATAACTTCCTCGAAGACCTTCCTAGTGCCGGCTAGATCCCCGGTCGCGGCACTCGCTGTGACCATCGCGTTCATCGAGAAGAGATTGTGGAGTGGCATCTTGAAAAGAACACCAATGGCGGCAGTGATCAATCCGACGAGAATGTAGCCCTGCGCTAGCGTGTTCCAGCAGAGTGGATCACGCGATGGGATCCTGTCAAAGAGATCCTTGGCCTCCCGCAAATGCCCTTGGTGTGAAGAAGCCACGATGAGCGTCGTCCAAGAGATCACATTGTGCATTGGCATCCTCAAAAACACGTCATAGCCGCCGCCATAGCCGATCGGAGCTGTCGCTTGGAGGATCTGGTTCCAGCTGACGACATCGCGCTGTGGCATCCGGTGGAATGTTGCGGCCGCTCGATCTGGATGCCCGTTTGTGGCGAAGGCCGCGAGGATCATGTTCCAGGAGTAAATATTTGGGGAGGAGATCGACTCAAACATCGCCATAGCCTCCTCGATCTTGCCACAGCGCGCGTACATCTCGATGAGAAGATTGGAGAGGAACCTATCGTGCCTGTGGAGCGTCTGCTGGATTTGGCAGTGAACGATCTTGCCCTGGCCGAAATCCCTGTCTCTGGAGCATTGCATGACGGTGCGAGCGAAGGAATCGACGTCGTGATGCCCGGCATCGGCGATCTTGGCAATGGATTTGAAGCAGATCACTCGCGCCTTGGGCGGCCAATCCAAGAAAGAGCTTCTCGACGTGCCGGCCCTTGCCAAGATCATCAAGAACAGCACCAGCTCCGGCGATCTAGCCTGCTGCCGCCGCGCACACGGTCAAATCCTCGCCAGCGCCCACAGCGGCGTGACATTCCTCCACAATCTCCTCATCGAGATGTATGGCAGCTGCGGCGGATTGGATGACGCGGAGGCGGTGTTCTCCGCGATGCGATCGCCAAACACATTCTCCAGGAACAACCTGATCTTCGCCTATGGCAAGAATGGCAAACCCTACGAGGCATGGAAGCTCTTCGTCCAAATGGCCGCCAAGAATGCCCTCTCTTGGGTATCAATCATACGAGCGCTAACGCGGTCTGGGCAACTGGACCTCGCCAAGAAGATGCTCTTAAAGATGCCCCAGCTAAGCACCACTCCCTGTACGGCCATGGTCGTGGCATATGCCCAAAGAGGGCATCTTGTCGATGCCAGATCCGTGATGGGCCTCATGGCCGAAAGTGACGCGACGGCGTCCACGGCCATGATAGTGGCGTATGGAGGCGCCGACAATGTGGACGAGGCGGAGAGGATATTCTTTGCGAGCGCCGCGCAGGATGTGGTATCGTGGACAGCAATGTGCCAAGCATATGCCGAGAACGGGTATCTGGAAGATGCGAGGCGAATCTTCTCGAGCATGCCACAGCGCAATGTGGTCACTTGGAACGCGCTGATGCAAGCGTGCGTCTCCAATCGCGAGCTGGAATCCGCGAGTGAGTGCTTCGATTCCATGCCGGAGCGCGACGCGGCGTCGTGGAACACGCTCATCGCGGCGTTCGCGCAGCTAGGGTTTCCGGGCGATGCGAGGCGCGCTTTCGATCGGATGCCGCAGCACAGCGTGATCAGCGCGACGTCGATGATCGTCGCGCTGGCGTGGAGTCCGGGGGGATTGAGCGCCGCGATCGCGGAGTTCGACAGGATTCCAGGGCGGGATCTTGTTTCTTGGAACGCCATGGCGCAGGCTCACGCGGCGAGTGGAAATCTTGCCGAGGCCGCGGAGATCTTCGATCGGATGCCGTGGAGGGACGTGACGGCGTGGAATGCCATGACCGAAGCGCTGTCGCAGCACGGGCATCTGGATCGAGCGCGGCGATCCTTCGATGCGATGCCAAACAGGGACGTGATCTCCTGGACCACGATGATCGATGCCTACACGCAGAACGGGCATCCTCGCGAGGCGCTGGAGCTCTTCCACGCGATGCTGCTGGAATCCATGCGGCCGAATCAGCTCACATTCCTGTGCGTTCTTGCCGGATGCAGCCATGGCGGATCTCTCGAGCGCGCTCGCCAGTATTTCCATTCGATGCTCCAGGATCACGACATCCAGCCCCGCGTCGAGCACTTCCACTGTCTCATCGATCTTCTCGGTCGATCCGGGAGGGAGCTCCACGACGCCGAGGATCTCATCCGTGAGATGCCGTTCCAGGAGGACGAAATCTCCTGGACGACGCTCCTCGGCGCTTGCCGCGTCCACGGCGATCCATCGCGGGGATCCAAGGCCGCGACGAGGATCGCGCACCTCACCCCGGATCGATCGGCCCCCTACGTTCTTCTCAATCAGGCACAGATGGTCGAGTAGATCGTGAGGAGGAAACGAAATTTCGATCGATCCTTCCGATATGCGAAGGGTGCTTCCAGGGATCGACGCCGAGCTCTCTCTTCTCATCAAATCTTGCGGCGACTCCAAGAACATCGCGAGGGGGAGGGAGATCCACGCGAGAATCGCTAGCTGCGAGCTCCGCCACGATCGATTACTGGCAAATCTCCTGGTGGAGATGTATGGCAAATGCGGCAGTGTCGACGACGCGGAGGGCGTGTTCTTGGCCATCCCCGACCCCAATCCCTACTCTTGGAACATCCTCATCGCGGCCTACGTCCAGAATGGCTGCCTCCGCCGAGCAAGGCGCGCGTTCTTGGAGATGCCCGGCCGTGGCATCGTCTCCTGGAACACCATCGCCAAGGGCTGGGCGGAGAGTGGCAATCTGGCGGAGCTTCTGGGTGTGTTCCACCGGATGCCGCAGTGGAATCCAGTCTCGTGCACTGCGATGGCGATGGCGCACGCGCAAGAGGGCGATCTCTCGGCAACCAAGCAGCTCTTTGATTCGATGGAGCAGCGGGATCTCGCGGCGTGGAACGGGATGATCCAAGCGTATGCCCAGAACGGCCATCTCTCCGGGGCGGAGCGTGTCTTCTCCAGGATGCCGGGGTGTGATGCCGTCTCGAAGACGCTGATCGTCAGAGCTTACGGCCTCGCCCAAGATCCTGGGAAAGCGAAGGATGCCTTCGATCAGACCCAGCAGCGCGACGTGATCTCGTGGAATGCCGCGATCCAAGCGTATGCCCAGAGCGGGCATCCGGAGGAAGCTCGAGCGATCTTCGAAGTGATGCCGGCATGGAATGTGGTCTCCTGGACAGTGATGGTGGTCGCTTACGCCGAGAGCCGCGATCCCGATCGTGCTGAAGAGATCTTCCTGGCGATGCGAGAGGACGATCTGGTGGCGCGCACGTCGATGCTCGCGGTGTATGCCCAACGAGGGGACCCAGAGGTAGCGCACAGGATCTTCGATGGCATGGCGTTGCTCCAGCGCGATGGGATCTGCTGGACGGCGCTCATCCGGGCCTACGTCGAGAATGGTCACCACGATTGGACGAGAGCGGCGTTCCAGAGAATGCCGCAGTGGGATCTCTCGGCGTGGAACTCGATCCTCCAGTCGTTGATCCAGACGAGCCAGCTCCGCGAGGCTCGAGCGATCTACGAGAGCATGCCGGAGTGGAACATCGTGTCTTCGACGCTGCTCATCGCTGGGTACACCAGATCCGGGGACGTAGCCGAGGCGAAGCTCGCGTTCGATCAGATTCCTCACAGGGATCCTGTCTCCTGGACGACGATGATCCACGCGTATGCCCAGAACGGGCACTGCGACGAGGCTTTCGAGCTCCAGCGAGCGATGGAGCTCGATGGTGTTGCTCCCGACGATGCCACCTTCGTGTCGCTGCTCGCCGGGTGTAGCTACTCGGGGCTGCTGGAGCGAGGCCGGGGATGCTTCGTGTTGATGCAAGAGACCCGCGGGATCGTCCCCAACAAGGATCACTTCTGCTGCTTGATCGACATGCTCGGGAGAAGCAAGCTGCTGGGCGAGGCGGAGGAGCTCATCCGGAGCTTGCCGTTTGATCCCGACGCTGCGATGTGGGCGTCATTGCTGGGAGGATCGCAGGGCGGTGACCAGCAGGCTGCGAGTGCGGCGAGAGAGGTGTCGGGATTGAAGCCCGAGGACTCGTCAGCGTATGTGATGCTCGCGAACTTGATCGTTTGTGACGATGGATCACTCGATCAGGAGGAGGAGAATGAAGAACTTGCGTGAGAGTTGGAGGACTATTGCCGTGATCTGGTAGTTCTCGGCTACTCCACCTGGAATGAAAGATGAGACGATTGAAAGCCTCGACTCTGCTAGTTGGATTAGATTTCGGATGAAAACGAAGAACTTGCGTAAAAAATTCGCGAGAAAATTTTGGAAAGAACTCACTAGCGCTGTGATGCTCGTAACCTGTGCTTGTTTTCGACGGCGTATCCGAATAGATCCCTGTGACAAACGTGAGAAAACAAAGGAAAGTAAAACGAATGAAGATGTCACGTACATGTATAGCTCTGGTACTAATTGATGGAGAGCTCGGGCTCCACTATCTCGGACTCCACCACCTCGGCCTCCTTGATCTCGGGCTCTTTTTCCTCCTCGAATTTGGACGCTTGTTCTTCGATTTGTGGAGCTGGTGCTGCCTGTTCTTCAACCTCGCCGGGACTGCGACGCTCATCCAGGATTTTTTTTACGTCCTCCAAGCTAGGCGGTTCCCGGAACCTATAATCGGCCTCTCTAGGCTTGTAAGTTACGAACAGGATCCCGCAAGTGATGACCTGCTCGAGCAAATCAAGAAAAGCAAAGATTGGACAAGAATGGCGACTTACCGCTACCACGATTCCAATCGCCCAGAGATACTGTAGGATGAATCCCAGCCAGTTCCACTGCGGCCCTTCCCAGAAATCTGGAACCATTCCTGGATCGAAATAATCGTCGTTGGGAAAAGGAGCTGGAGTGGGATTCGACGACGACGAGGATTTCGCTCCGGATTTCTGCTTGTCATCCGAAATCGCGACCTTGGAGGAAGAATCTGGTTGCTTCACATTCTTACCGGAGGAAGACGGCGACGACGATTCCAACTTCTTGGCCCGGATGAGACTACTCCTCCTGGCGATCGCGACGTGGTTCCTGCTGGGAAGAGGATTTAATCCGCTCCTCCGGTGGAGGAACGGCGATGGCGCGCCGAGAGCGTGGACGCCATGCCGCGATGCTAGCGCCATTGCGCCTGGGAAGAAAGAAATCTGCCCCAGACGATGATACATCCACAACCACTCGTTTAAATCTTTATTCCGGGCAAAATTCCGGTTCTTTTCTACAAAAATGGTGACGTGGAGGTAAAGGTGGGGTATGACCAGGGAAAATGCAGGGTATGACGAAGGAAACAGCGAGGGAAGAACAGGGGAGAACAAACGAATCAATTCACGTAGCGGCAGTTCTTCCTGATCTGGCCGCTACTGCCCGTGAGCACCTTGTGGGCGGTGAGCTTCTGGTAGGCGGTGATGTATGTCTGGAAGAATTGGTTCTGGTCCTGGGCGAATTTCGCTACGGCGGTGCTGGTTCTCGAGTCTTGGCCCAGCGCCGCGTCGATGCTGAAGAGCCCGAGCCTGGAGCTCACCTCCTGGTAGTAGCGATTGTCGAATCGCAAGCTGGTGAAATCGTTCATCACCGTGGTGGTGTTGAGAATGAATCGCGGATCCGAGACGGGACAGCTGATCCGGAGGCGCGCCGCGTAGAAGGGATTGAGGTTGGAATCCAGGGTCGGGTAGAGGCGATTGACGATGTTGAGACAGTGGCCGACGCCCAGCGTGTGCGCGCCCATGATCGCCACGCTCTCCTCGATGGACATGCCCATGGCGCGGAAGATTTCCAGGAATTTGTCGACGCTGATCGTGGGCGGGGGCAGCGCCGCGTCGGCGGCGCGATTGCTCGCGAATGTGGCATCCCTCCGCCCGAGCTGGATGGGGAAATCCGGGCCGCCAGCAATCGCCGCGGCGTCCCGGCCCGCCAGCGCGACGATGTCCGCGCACGAGACCTCTCCGCCGCCGCATTGCGCATCCACCGCCGCCTTGATCCGATCGATGATCGCGAGCTCCCGGACGCCGAAATTTCGATCGGACACCATCTCGCTGGTGATGGAGCCCTTGTTGTTGAGCAGGATCGATGCGTCGCAGCCCTGGATGGAAATTGATCGAGGATGTCAGCGTCGATAAAGTCTATCTAGCTTACCCCGACTTGGCAGTCGTGGAAGGAGAGGCGGAGGAGCGCCGCCGCGGCGGTGGGATCGCCAAAGAGGCTGCTCATGATCGTCGATCTCACCGTGCTCTCCAGCCCCGGGCAAGATTTCTTGTAGAAACCGAACGAGAGCTGGGAGGAGCTCGAGCTTGCGAGTGTCAGGACCATGGCTAGAATCACCCACATTGCGAAATTGGATCCCCAATTCACCGCCATCGCCGTCGCCGTTCTTAAGGCTTCTCCTCTCGCTCCAATTCGATCAGGTACGTACCGATTGATCTGCTGCAAGGGAGGAATTGGATCTGAGCGAACGCAACCAGGCCTCGATTCGATTGAATGCGCACAAATGCTTCAACCGATCGAGGTACCAGGGATTCCTCTTCCTTGCAGGGGAGTAAATTCGAATTGCAGGAAGCTCTCTCAAGATCAAGATCGCTAGATCATCGCTCGCTCGATTGCTAGCAGCGAGACTTGGGGATCGTCTCACTACTCATTGGGAGAGAATGCGTGGAGAGATCCCTGGTTGGTATATGTACAGGGGAGCTCTAGCTCCAAAACATCAATGCTTGACTTGCTAAAGCTGCCACAAAGTTAAAAAAAGGGAGGTAAAAATTGAAGAGGAAAGCAAGAAATTATGCTGTGCTGCTCGGATGATGAATTGTGAGGTGATACTTTTTTTATACCATCCCTACCTTGATTTTTACCACGAGCTCCCTCGAAATGAGCTCTTCTAGAAGGGAGAATTTCAAGGGAGAACAAATGCCCTTCTTTGGCATTTCTCTAATGAGAAATTTAGGAGAGTTGCAAAGCTCAAGTAGCACGTCCAAAAACTTGGCCTTTTCCAAACACTCGTTACAATCTATGGCGGCATCGACTATTCAGCTCCGGGATGCTCGTCTGCAACTTGCTTAGGAACCTCTATCCGCTTGCTTCGAGAAACTTTGTAGCGCTCTCCATGGCCATCTTGAGCGTCTTGATGATCGCCGGAAGCACACTCTTCCAAATGCCTGCACGTCGCTAGAGCAAAGCAGAACTTCCAGGTACCTCGTCATCCTGGCGACCATGGATTTCTTGGCAGCATCTATCAGCACCAAGATGGCCTCTTTAACGTTTTTGCTTCAGACAAGGCGCTGCTTCGATACCACCGGATAAGGCCACGCCAAGTTGCCAGCCAGGAGCACAGCGTTTTCGAGCCGGCTCGCAGTGCTTCTCTGTACGACACTACAGCGTCGGCATAGCGGCCCTGTCGCTTGAAAAACTGGGGCAAGAGTTCACCTTGTTGAAAAAACTCTTGTAGTGCCGGGTAGATGATCGGCAAGAAAGTAGCATCACACCAAGCGCACCTGAGCAGCGTCTGCAAGGAAATAAGCAACGTAAAACCTGTTCAAGAGTGTCCATAAAAAACATGGAAAATGAAAGAGGCTCTAGAATTTATGTACCTGATGATCGTTCCAGACATCAGGTAGACTCCTTCCAGAAGAAGGATCGCCAACTGGAAGGCCGCGAAAGGAAAGGAGAAAGCCAAAGAATGGCGGGACTGTATTCGCAGCTTCGAAAAGGGATCTTTCTAGAGTTCTTCCGCATTGCTAGAACTGAGACTAACACAAGGAAACCAATACCTTCGTTTCCTATCAGGGTGTCCATCGTCAATCATCACCAGGCCTTCCTGTAGTGGAAAGAGAATTAGAAACAAACGAAAGAATGATCAAAGCAACTAAACGTTTCCCCTGATTGGAAACTAGTGAAGAATTCTGAGAGCGTCTCACCTTCATCAATGTTTCCAAAGCATCGATCACTCGACCGGGATGCCACGATAGAGCGCGTTCTACGTCTTCAACCAGAACAAATCCACGGACCTGGAAGTAAAAAAAGAAGAGTATAAGATACGTAGTCTCAAAAGTTTCAATCACCTCTGCGAGTTCTAAGATTTGGTTGTGGTCTTTGTTGAGCTCGGTTGGAACAGAGCGAACGAGTTTCTTTTTGCCGACGGTGAAAACCTCGAAGCCACTTCCGAGTACCTGCAAATAAGCCGTCATGGGACGAATGGTTGACGAGTCTGCAAAATCATTGAAAGATAACCCATCACACTGCAAACAAATGAATGGAAAACAAAAACAAGAAGAAGCGAACAGAATTAATCCAACGAATTTTTTTCTGCCCAGGTTTTCTCGTGTTTTCCATACCTTGAGCTTGTCAATCGCCTTGAGACAATCATCGCTAGTGATCGTCTCCCGGGACGTTCGTCTCTTCTTAGATAGCATCGAGCAGAGCTCGTTGAGATCAATTAGTCCTCCATTGTGAGATCGAGTCGCAAGGCAGATCTCTACAATCTGGACACCTGCGAGCTGAGACTCATCAACCAAAAAAAGAGAGAACACGAAGAAAACTTACCAATTTCGTAGTAAAAATCTCCAATTCCTAGAAGCTCGGCCCAGAAACCTTTGTTGGACGCTAAAGGATCGACTCCGACTTTGGAACACATCTCATGGAACTGAGCCCGGAACGCTGGATTCTTCTTGATATCATGCTAAGAAACAAACCAAAGCAATCCCATTCACGCTCACGATTCCACTCCCATACCTTGTGCTTGCGCGCAAATTCTTCTAGCTGCGTCCTAAACGTCGCCAGCTGCTCTTTGAGAAGATCCGTCCGGATTCTCGCCACATTCTCGCCAACAGACCGATACTGATCCTGGAATCAACGAAAGCACAGCGTCCGATCCCCACAGCTGAAACAATCTCATACCCTAGCTGCAGCCGCGGAATGCAATCCCGAGATCCCAGGGCGCCTCTTCATCGTCCAACAAGAAGAGCCCTAAAATCATGGCTTTCGAGGTAAATTTCTCTTTTATTCATTTCCAAAGCTATGTAAAGCTATGTTGTTCACATAACTGGAGTGGTAAATTGCAACACCCATGCTATGGCCAATTATGTCCCAACCAACCAGAAAAGAACGTGATTTTTTTATGTTGGTATCTTCTTTCTCATCCCGACATAAATCCTTTACAGTATGTTTCTTAAGAGTGTTTCCAAGGGAAAAGGCAAAACGCTCGTGTATAAAAAAACCATCATCTAGAAAATGTGGCCTCCACTCTCCAGCAGTTATCATCACTGAAAACCATTCGTAAGCTTGTTCATCTCCACCTTTCATTTTATTCTTCTTCTTTAGTTTTGAGCTTGATTTTGATTGTGTGGGGATTTGGCCACCACTTTGAGGCAAAGTGACATAACTAGAGCTGTAAAGAGTGATGCTGGTTTGTATATCCCAAGCACATCCAGGACAAACCATGACATGAAATTAGTCCACCCTAACTCCATACTTGCACAAGATGTGATTTTCTTATCCCATTGCAACACTCCGTTAAGAATCGGAAAAAGCATGATTTTAACAGGTACAAAACTTTGTCAGAGTTGTCTCACAAGATGTAAATGAAAAATTTATGGTTGAAACAACATTAATCCCAAGGTAGATAAGAAATTAAAGCTTATCTAGAAAAGGCTTCCACCACGAATATTGACTTGACATCCCTGTAGTTTTCTAGATTTCTGGAAAAAAACAAACTCATTGACTTGTTAAACCCATAGGATGAAGTCTTACAATTCACACTTTATTGTAGAATATAGAGATGATAGAACGTGTTCATAACTGGAAGATCGATGAAACAACAATTCCAACCTCTCTTTCAGTGGAAGGTGTTGGGAGGGTCGTTCTTCATGACTGGGAAGCTTAAACCATTCAAATATCTAAAAAGTCAACGTGATCTCAATATATATCACATACAAAAACATAGTTTGCCAAAGCGTCCTGGAGTGCAATAATAGCGGCTTATCGCATCACGGCATGGAAAAATCGCCGCAGCTGTGCCTCTTATATTTCAATGGGATGTCAGCTTTCCGGGCAATTGTGCGATCTTACTGCAAATCCTGAGGCTAAGACTGACCGCGGTGCCTTTCTGAAGCCCCGCAAAGCTCGCAAATCACTGGGTCTCCCAGGTGGTGGAATGGCCGTTGTGCAAAGTGCTTGAAGCTCACCACCAATAGGTCTTTGCCCGTGAACTCCCTGCCACAGTTCTCGAGCTCCGCAAGTGCTTCGCAAAGATAGCACGCGGCCAAAAGCGACGCTACAGTAAATGCAACGACATGATCCATGGACATTTGCTATTTTTTAAGAGACAGGCAATGCGTGTTCAGACAATCGCCACTCAGGAATGGGAAGAGTACAGCGTCCCTTGCCTGATATTGAAAGCCAAGGCACTCAAGCTCAGGTGCAATCGGCCATACAGGACCTGCCGCTGGGCAAGGCACTTGATCATCTTGGATTCACGATGGAGATGCTTCGAGCTGCGGGGCCAGAGTGGATTGCTAGTGGAGATCTTTAATTAAGTAGAGGCTTCCCCATGGCCTGAACGGTCAATAGAGTTATCCTCCTATACAAATCCGGGGATCCCTCTGTTGTCACCAGCTACAAAACATTGGATGTGGCCAGCATTTTTGCAAAGATATTTGCCTGCTTGCTGGAGAAAGAGCTCTCTAGTTGGATGGAAAGGAGTGGGAAGGGTTTCCGGAGGCATTATTCTTGTAAAGACCAACTCCTGACACTCCAGAACGGAACTGAGTCCTTTTCCTGGGATATGTGGACTTAGCGGATGGTGCAATTGCAAATCTTTGACAGCCTGCCGATTGAGTCACACATCGGTGTACGCCATCTATCCCCAACTTTGTTCGCCATCTACGTGGATGTTGCAGGGGAAGGTGCTCTCACGTCTTACCAACTCTCTGGCATGCACCTATATGCGCTGCTCTATGCCGATGATATACTCTTGCCAGCTCCGTCAGCGGCTAAACCTGGGTCTACGTGCTCAATGACGTTCTGTCACACACCCTGGCATCATATCGATGTGATCATATGCTCCTTGTGGAAATGGGACTAAGAACACCCCTGCATCTTCGCATTTGTTGCTTATGCCAAACAGATCAGGTGGAAGATGTGTTTCATGTTGTTTACAACTGCATGGCCTTTGTATTATTAAGCTCAGGTGAAGAAAGAAAACGATACAAGTCAGCCAACACTACCCCGGGAATCGAGATCACCACCTCCTACAGGATTTGAATTTCAAACGCGCGTGTGGAGCTTTGATTTCTTATACTCTGCCACAACTTACTACTCAGTGTTGCCAGAAAATCCACCCCATGTCTCTTCTTATGCATAGGAGCTGAGGCACCACTCTTTTATCATGTCATCCTTGTGCTCCTTCACCGTCTTGGCGTGGGGTGCTCGTTGCTTTCTCCAGGAGTGTTGCCGGGAGTTTTTTCTCCAGTGCTACCACCCCAAGTAGCGTTGTTATCACGAACTTCTCGACTGCCCCAGCCATTTCCACCACCATCTTCACCAGTATTCCAGCCTCTGCCACCATTGTTGCCAGTGTTCCAGCCTCCACGGTCGTTGCTGGGTAACGCCACCACCATTGTCGCCAATGGCTCGCCCCTTAAGGTGGTCCGGCTGTTTGCAGCTTTCGGATCAAGTTTTTTTATTTGCGAGAATTTTACTACTGAGTTGCTATGATCTTACGTGGTTTGTTGTGGCAGTCATGCTCTCGAGAACATGTACTGCCAGACAAATCTTAGTACACATGGTAATGTTTAATTGGACTGACTTAAACCTCCACTTAGGATTGCCAAGTGTACTGCCTCAACGGGCTCGCCACGTGCACGTTAAGGCGGTTCACTGGCAACCCGTGAACCAATCATCGTCAGCTTCACCATTTTCCCGGGATTTCTACCACAAGGTTGTTGCAGTGATGCACCGTCAACGAAGCTATTATCTGAAAAAAAAGTCGTTACAAACAGAGAAATCAGGATTTCTCCAGCTACATGGAATTTCGATGGTAGTAACTTCGATCTCTTTTTCCAATGCGTCCTTCTTGGAGGAACGCAAGATTATAAGATGATTCTCCGGTCGAAGAGAAAAGACTGTCTGTTTTGGAACATCGAAGGACTTTCATACCCACAGGAGCGATTTTCCGCGTGGTCTGAATTGTGAACGAAAAGAAAGTCCTTGAAAATCATTTACAAGAGAAAGAAGAAGAGAAACATCACCTTTCGCTTATAGACCAAAATTCTTGTGCATCCTCTATACATTTCCCTCAGACATCTCGGTCAGGTGCTCTACATTAGCTGAAGGAATCCTATTGCAGCACCGGATCGTGGGAAGCTGTGGTCGTGGTTTTCTCATACAGCTTTTGCCTTCTCGCTGTTTGATCATCATTTACAGCAGCACTCGAATCGTCAACATCCCGGTCTTCCTATCTGACAGATCGGTAGGGCTCCGTTTTCCTTTCAGGATGCATAAGAAGGGAAGCGAGATGGATCGGACAGTGTGGGAGGAGCGTCGCCATGCCCCGGCATATCTAAAATGCGCGATCATATCAGGTCTTAGCGTTGCAGGGAGGCCGATCTTATCTTTGCGTGCGTGCATGAGCGCTACAAGATGCCCGGATGGTCGCCTTGAGCATGTTCGCAAGGTGCTCGCGAGTGTGCTGTGATTTTTGCGTGAAGGAGAGCTACAAGATGCCCGATTTTGTCCTGCTTCTAGTCGGCAAGAAAGGGAGCTCGCCAGTGGGATCTTTGGCGCTGTGATCAGGAGCGCTATTTGTCTTGCTTCTAGTCGGCAAGAAAGGGGTCGCCGTTGGGCTGCTCGCGGCTCGCTCGCGGATGGATATCTTTGAAGGCATCCCTCCCAGTCTCGGATCGTCAAACTCTATAGGAGGGTAGTCACGCCACTTTGGATTCGCATTCTCACTCATCTATGCTACCCTCGAGAAACTTCGAGGTCGCTGTTATCCTTTGAGCATGCCCCGAATGGCTGGCCGCCAATAACCTCACGCGCTTAGATTGTGTTCCACGCCGCCTTTGTGATCGTGCCATCAGGATGCCGCTCCCACTTGTAAAACGAGACCCCGATTGAGCAATACGCCTTAGAGAACGTCGCTCTCTTGATCATCGCCGACCTGTTCAAGCTTCTCGTCTAGTGCAGCATACATGTTATACCATTTTGCGCACAGGAAGAGGATCCCGCCTGGCCGCCTGCCGTCGAATTCGCCACTGAAAAAAGTGCGACTCGCAACGCGCAAGCAGCAAAAGGATTTACCTGTACGACATTAACACCCGGAAAGGAAGCCCGCGGGATCCTTCCATGGATCTGGGAGATGCCTGATGATCCAGCTCTCCCCGATAACAATCCGTGGATGCGGCAAGAGCTCCTCAAGCGACAAGAGTGCCATCAACCTGGAAAAGTGCAGTGTAGGATTTTAGGATTGCCAATTTATTCTATACTGGTAAAGAATCCAGAAAAATTCCACAGCATGGGTGATTGATTGACAATTGATTCACAATCCCAGTCGCAGTGGTGGCCGATATGATCACCCTTGTCGTCTCTTGGAATTGCAGTATATGGCAACTCTCATTTAATAATTGCTAACAAGTTCTCTTCCATCCATGACAACATTTCAATGGAAGTTTAAACAAGTATGGTGAACATTAGTGTATGCAGAGAACATTCGATGATAAGATAGAAACGATTTTCTTGCTATGTTTTTCTTGTAAACCATGACAAGGATAGGAAAACTATACAGATATTGTGGGATGTGCTCAAGCTGTCTACCTCAAATGCCAAGTTCAATTCTTGCTGAAACTCTAGTTTCCCAGAAGACAAGTTTACATCTTCTTTGACTTTCACTACTTTGCTAGAAATTATTAGTGATAAGTAAACCTTGATTACAAATATATTGGAGGAATGTACTCGATTATTAATCAAACCATCTTCATGAATAATTTAGGAATATACAATGGCCTTTCACCCTAAAAAAGGACTGCCTACAGTCAAATGATTTTCTTGACTTGGACATTGAGCACTTTTACCTGTTAAGAACACCACTGCCAGAATGAGAACATTGCATTCTTCCATATGTATATGGAGCTTGGGTGGATTGCATTGGCCTAGACGTCTTGGCTAGAGCTATATCCCTGCAAGCATCACTCTTCACAAGTCTAGCTATGTCTGATCTGACATGCTTTATACTTTCGCGATCAACATGCTCTTGATCAAGCTCAAAACTCAAAAAAGAAGAAGAAAATGAAAGCTGGATGAACGAGTTCACATTTGGTTTTCCAGTGACAACTGCTGGAGAGTAGCCATGGAACTTAGAATTCCATGTGGAGGCCACCTTTTCTGGATGATGGCTAGACTTTTAGGCATTAGTGTGCTGCCAGACATCAGGACGGGTACTACTTTGTAATTGGATGCACCCCTGTGCTCAAGTGCGACTTTCCAATCTCCAAGCTGCTGTTCTATGGTGTAAGCTAGGATGAGAGCACTCTCCACCAGCATTGGCTCTCATAGGACTGGGAAGTCACAGTGGCATTCCAGTAGCGCTTCAAGTGGTACATCCAGTTGCAAAACAAAGTAATGTATCCAGTTTTGGTTTTTCTGGCTTGGATACTTCAAGTTCCATGGGTACTCTCCAGCAATTGTGACTGGAAAATATTGGACGAACACCAGCAAAGGCCTCTTATCTTTGAAACCACTTGCTGTAAGAAATCTCCCACGCCAGATCCACACTTCGTAATCAGACACTGGGAGCAGGGAAGTAGAACTATTTTTTCCTGTGCTTTTATCTCAAATCCCCCACCGGAATTGAAAGAATAGCAAAGAGGAAGAGCTATGAAAAACTTCGCAATTTCCAAGTGATACTCGGGCTTAACAAGAATGCACACTAATCTAAAGAAAGGACAATAAGCGCTCACTAGGAGAGCCGCGAATATGCCCCGCATTTAAAGGCCCGCATTTAAACGCTCGTTCTTTGGCTGTTTGATAACGAACATAAAGGCCGAGATTTAATAAACGAGGATGAAAGGATTTGGTTATAAGAGGAGAAAAAATTTGATCCATCATAGAGTACGAATTAAGATATCACCAGTAGCATACAAAACCATACTAGAAAACCTCCCTTGCGAACCACTGATTGATCGAAGAACACTCGCGACTCAGCACTTGACTTCCTTGAGCGCGTGCTTGAAGTAGATGAAGGTGGGATCCGACCTGCCTTCCTTGTAGTATGCCAAGACGTACGTGGCATCGTCCTTCATGCTCTCGCCGACGAAGCTACCAAAAAGCACCAGAGATCTCATCAGTTCCAATCGAGCTCGGAGCAGATCCTAGAGCAAACGAGAGAAGAGAGAACTTACAACTGGAAGTCATTGAGCTTGGAGAGGATCCACTTGACGGCGGCCTCCACATTCTTCTTGAACTCGGCCTTCTCCTCCTCGGGGAGGATCTCCGTGAGGTTCTTGATGAACTTCTTCATGCAGCCGAGGAACGTCTTCTTGTCGAAGGCTGGCTGCTCCTGGAGGCGAAAGGTGTCGACAATGTCCACCACTTTCGCTGCCTGATCGTCCACGCCTTCGTCATCCTCGCCGCCCTCCTGCGATGGATTGGCGCCGATGTCCACGTCCACACATCCCGTCACGACCCATTTGCCCTCGACCTCCCACAGCACGCCATTCTGGATCTCCTTGTAGGGGAAGGAATCCGACAGGAGCTCGTCGCCAGACAGCAAATCCTGGTACACGAGCATGGCGATCGACCACGCGCCGCCTCGATCTAGATCTGCCGGAATTCCAGAGGCGAGAGAGCGCCTACTTACTTGCGCGCCTCCAAACCCTAGCTCGTCACAAAGAGGGGCCGGCGCAAAGCCATATCCAGGGTTTCTAGAGGCATATTCCACCATCTCTAACGGAATATTCTCTAGCGGAATGCATCAAACCGAATATGCTCATGGACTTTACGACAGAATGTTCTCCTTCTTTTAGGTTAAGAAGCCCATCGGATTGGAGGCTCTATCTCCATCAAGAGTGTTTTTTGCGTTGCGCTGCGCTCGCGGCCAGGTATTTTGTTTCGGCGATTGATGCCAGATCGATCCAGCGAGCAAGCTCCTTTTGCTGCCGCGAGGAGGTCCGGCTAGGGTTGAGAGGATTGTCGCTCTCCATGGCGAGATTGTAGCTAGATTAGTAGGGCGGCGGCGATAATGAAGCTCCGCCATGCTATGGTGTGTGCCTCCAATCAGAATCGGAGTATGGAAGCTCACGCCCTCTTGCAAAGAGAAGGCTTAGATGTGAGCTCGTATGGAACAGGCAATCAAGTGAAGCTCCCGGGGCCGACGATTCGAGACCCCAATATCTACCAGTTTGGAACGCCGTATACCGCGATAATCGAAGATCTCAAGAACAAGGATCCCGACTTGTATGTTTTGCAATTTTTTCTTTTCTTCGTTTCTTCCTTTGCCTTTGTCTTCTTGCTCTTGTTCTTGGTCTTGGTTTTTGTGAACCCCTTCTTTTTTCGTTGTTTCTCACGACCTTGTCGCTTCATTGGCCATTGCAGATACAAAAGGAACGGCTTGCTACCGATGCTCAAGCGCAACGCGAGTGTCAAAGACGCTCCCCAGCGCTGGCAAGACAACGCTGGCGATGGCGCCTTCGATGTGGTGCTGACTTTCGAGGAGAGAGTTTTCGACCTTGTCAACGAAGGTACATTTTCTTTTGTTACTCGGCTTGTTTGTTTCGCAAATCTTTTGCCTGTTCTTAGTTTTTTTATGTGTTCCTGGCAGATCTCCAAAACCGCGAGCAAACGCTCTTCAAGACGGTGCTGGTCGTGAACTTGGACGTCAAAGACAACCACGAAGAAGCAGCGGTTGGTGCCAAGCTCGCGCTGGATTTGTGCAAAAAGGTAAAATTCCTCTCCCTCGATCCCAATCTTGATCCTTCGCGATGCTTGCTAGAGATTTTCCGTATGGTGTTTGTCCCGCTAACACTCCTTAGAAAGAAGATGACAAACGAAAGAGGATTTTTTTTTCTTTCATCTCCACTCCAAGCTCGATAGAATGAATCGATCTGGAAGATCGCTCTTGGAAATCGATGGGCAGTGACAATTGGTTGACGGGGACACGGGATATCACTAAACCCTATCAATGAAAGAATGAAAATCCATCCATTGCTATGTACATAGCGAGTTCTTTAAACTTCTGGGGGAGTTTACACCACACTACTAAAGAAAGATCACGATGGTTTGTGTTCTTGGCTTATGTTCTTAACTTCCCTCGCGATTTCTCTGTTCTTTTTTCACTTAGAAAGGTGGTTTTGATCGAATCTCTCGTGTTTTGCAGCTAGAGGAGAGCGAGAAGAACTGGGAGGACGAGATCGACGATATCGTGCGGAGATTTGAGAAGCAACACAAGCGGAGATTGATCTACACCATATGTTTCTATTGAGACGATGAAAGAGAAAAGCTGGAAAAATGTGATACCAAGTTTGTTTGCCCTAGATTCTTTTTGGATATTCTATTTGTAACGTGTCCTAGATTCGTGTAGAATGTTCTATTTGAAACGTTATGCCATATTTCTCGGTGTGTGTGAGCTAAGTAGGGTTTAGGGTGTGTGAAAGTAAGGGAAGAGCGCCATGGATTTCATGCGCGGGGTCGATCAAGCGGTGGCTTTGTGCCGCGCATGCGTGGAGACGAATCGCGGCACGCGGATGCTCGTTATAGTGCCGTCCGGGACATCGGCGGAGGAGTTTAGAGGTATGGAGCTCGATCCATCGATCGATGATCGCCGGGTACTTGAGGGCTTTTTCTTCTTGCAGAGAGGGTGAGGGCTGTGCATTCTACCAATTTTCCGGAGCACGGAAATGTAGGCATCAAGAACATCATGGTACGAAACCGCTGGAGAAAAAGCTCTGGGAAGTTTCTGAGATTTCTTGTGTGTTTTCCAGATCATGGTTGCGGGGTATTGGTATGCTTTCACCCATGGCAACATTGGAACGGCTGCTCAAGGAACCGATGCGCGATTTAGAGTCGAGCTTTTCGAGGAACAGGAGGAAGTCGTGGATCCTTCTCCATCCGGGACTCCCGCGAGAAGGGAGCTTGCGGCCGGAGAGGATGTGCGTCAGCAGCCGGCGAGAGAGGAGAGTAGACTTGGCAGAGCCGTGACTAGTTTGCGACGAACCCTCGAGGAGATGGAGGACATTCGTGGAACTGGTCCTGGAAGGGTGGTGAACAATGCTCAAGGGGTGAGGATCACTGCTCCTCCTCCAGCGAACGAGGTTATGGTTGGATCTGCCGCGGACGAAAGGAATGACGACGTCCAGATGGTGGATGGTTCTGAGCCCGAGTCTAGAGCAGTGGCGGAAACCGATATCGCCGAGAGTAGCGGACAGGAAACAAGGTCCGGCCCTTCTCTGCGATGTAACGACGTTCAGATGGTGGATGGTTCTGAGCCCCACTCTAGAGCAGTGGCGGAAATGGACGTCCCTGAGAGTAACGGACAGGAGACAAGGTCCGCCTCTTCTCTGCGACGATCGCACGACATGCCTTCTGAAAATCCAGCCGATAAGTCGCAGAACGGTTGTCGAGGGGTTTCTCCTCCTCCAGTGAAACTTGCCAGCTCCGCGACGAGCGACTGCAACATGGTGGATGTTTCCGTGCCCGAGGCTGCGGCGGCGACCGCACAGGAAACAGAAGTGGAAGTTATGAAGGAGCTGGGAGAAAGAACTGTGGAGGGTGGTAACGATGAACAAGGGAGAGACGAGGTAGAGGTAGAAGGAGCTGGAAGGGAGGGACAGAAACTAGAATCGAGTACGGACGATTCGGAAGGATCTGAGGAGGAGGAGGATGAACTAGAAGGCAGGAGAGATGAGCGACAAGAAAACGAGGAAAAGGAAGTAGAGGCAGGACTGCAGATTGGAGACGAGAAGGAGCTAGAAACTGAGAAAGGCAGTTCTGAGAAAAATGTAGGAGACATGGAGGCTCAGAAGGATGCGACAGCGTCATCAGTGCTTAATATTCTTCTCGGCTCCTCTGAGGGAACTGAAGATCGCTCGAACGCGAAAGCTAGTGGCGAGCCTACTCGAATCGATGAGCCTGTTGCTACTGATGGCAATGGCAGTGCCTCAGGACACGATTTTATAGCCGAGAAACCTACAGCCAAGCGAAAACACGACTGGTCTTTGGATGCATCGCACAAGAGGTCGAGAGTGGA